TAAGGATAATTTGTCATTTTTACGGATTTTTAAGGTCTTAAATTTAAGGACCTGCAGATACCCTGCATATGGTAAGGCTATTTTATTATTATTATTATTATTACTAACAACATTAGTTGTTTTCTTTCTTTGTTCTTTGTGAATGCAATATTATTTAGCAGGGGCGGATTTAGGACTGAAGAAGATCCGGGGCTTAACACACACACACGTGACACGCACTAGTCAACATCATATATATTTGTCTTGTACCACATAATTTTTAATCCGAAGCTACATATTAAGAATCTTCAGGGCAGAGTATTGTTCCTGTTAGTGTTTAGTGTGAGATGACAGTAAATATTCCCTTTCTTTCTCCATCAGCTTTACCTGAAAAGCTAACTTTAGGCAAACCAGCAGCACAACAAATATTTTCAAATAAGACTCACAAACCTGAGTCAACACCAGTCTCATCAAAGCTGGGGTTCTGTTGTTGTACTTTTGGTCTAAAAAACGTCCTTATGTCCATCTTCACTCATGTGTTTCAGGCAGAGACTGCAGAAGAAGCCGGCTGCTGAAGGGCTTCTTGTTCAGTGGTGGAGGCTCAGGCAGGCTGTATACAAACTACTGCCAGCTGCTCCCTCTCTGTTGGACTTTGGTACTGCATGTTACTTCCACGATTTAGATCCGGGGCTTTTCATAAAACATTCGGGGCTTGAGCCCAAGTAGCCGGGCCTAACGCCGCCCCTGTTATTTAGCCTTGTTCGAAATAAATAATAATAAAAAAGAAAAAATATATCTACATGACAACACCAACAGGGTGGTGTTGAAACAACTGCTCTAAGGGTGTAAATGTATGTTTTATGTATTTATGTAAAAATGTCAGGATGCCACTCCACAGCTCTCCTTCCTTTTAAGGCCATTCTCAGGACATTATCTGTTCTGCAGAGATCACTCCCTCCCTCACACACACACACACGCACGCACGCACGCACACACACACACACTCACACACACACACACAGCTGCAAATTCTGCCAATGCCCTTCTCTCCTATGAACTCACACACTCATCCACACCAAAGCTCTGGCTCTATCATCACCCAAATTACCTCACGCACATGGTTAAATCTGCAGCTGCCTGCTGAGCTGAGGGCTGCTAAAAAAACAACCTCTAAACACACATGCATGTGGAGCTTTTTTCATTGACCTCTCCTTTTGCCTGAAAACAATCTTGCAGAAGCAGAAAGAAGTCAGAACTGTGCACATCACTGAAACTCGCTGCTCTGATTATATGTTTGGGTGATATTAGGAGACTGGGTTTGCAGGCACATGCAGCCTCTCAGCTGGCCCCATCTGGAAATACTGCAGTCTTTAATGCTATGTGGGGAGCCAGGCGTGCATTTTAGTTAAGAAGAAAAAAAAAGTGAGAGAGAAAATAAAACATCCTGCTGTGCTGTGGTGAGATGTCAGCAGGCAAAGTCAGACAAAAAGCTGTTTTATATCTTAGGTTTATACCTTCAGAAACAACGCAAGCATGTGCTAAACCGTAGACTCCTAAATAAATAGATCATTTAAAGTTTTCTGGTTGGATTCATAAAGTACGAGTTAAAAAGTTGAGACGCTGTAACTGGCTGAAGCAAACCCCAAACAAACAGGAAAGAGCGTGGGAGGTATCTCTACACACTAAAGGGTAAAATAATGCATGAAGGATGCAGACTTTGAAGCATTTGATCACAAATATGCCAAACTAGCTAAAAGAAAAGCAACATCAATCAACGACAATTTGTGCATTACAAAAACGTTAAGTTTCTACAGTTAAATGGCACGAAGTTGCATCACTGAACGTGATCACTGGAGTCTTTTTTGCAGCAGATCAGGAGAAAATCTTTAAATCCCTTTGTGAAATAAACTCAAATCTAACAGATGTTGTCTTGTTTTGTCATGTGGCAAACTGTGCACCAAAAGATGCCTCTAAGCTATCGAACAAAAAGCAAAACAAACACCAGCAGAGAAAAGAGATGATTTTAAAAACGAGGGGGGGAAACCCCACGCCGCTGAAACAGCTGGAAACAGGAAATGACTTTCAGTATTTATGTGTGTGCTTGTGCTAATTTGTGACACTGCTTGGCAAACTTACATTAACAAACTGTTTCATGGCTTTTGTGGTTTTCCATTTTATTGACATAAACAGATCTGCAGGCTTATCGCACACAGATATGAAACACAAGATGAGGAGCCTGCCAGATGTTAAATGGCTCAGCGGTGTGCACTTCTGAGAAGTAAACCTTTCGAGAACTGTAGATTCAATGAAAAGGAGTCCTGTGAAAACAGGCAACATCTGTACTGAGGGCAGCAACAACAGTCAGATATCGACATCGAAACCTGACTGCGGTGTACGTGTTGGCTTGTCACACCTGGAATACATGGATTTACTGATATGTAGTGGGTCTGTGATTCACTCCACAGGTAAATCAGTACAAAAATAACATTTAGACATCGGGTACTGCTCTAAAAGTAAAACCATTTTCACGTAGAATGACATCTTAAAGGGACATTATGGAAGTTTGACAGCCAAAACATGTATAGAAATAATAAATGTCTTCTTCATACATTCTCCTGCAATGCACTGGTCCTGTAGAATGAGCCCTGGCATTTTTACTGTGATTGCCTGTTTTTCTGTAAAATCACAGAAAAAGAGAGATGCTCGGGTCGAGCAGGCTGCTTCATGCGCGTTCACGCTCAGGCATCGCCCGTAGCATTTGCTATCCGTAGCTTTAGCAGCAGAGAGAGAGGCAGTGCCACTTTGTCGCTGTTCCTAACGCCTAGTGACAAAGCTAGCTACATTTCTGAGGACCCTTAGCTACTTTCTGTAGGTGATAGCGGTTGTGAGTTATCAATAGGATTTCATAAAGACACAAATGTTACAAGAGCCTTTTAAAGGAGTGGTTCAGCATCTTTGGATTATTAAAAGGACTTTTCGGACTTTTGAATTTTTATGCTCGCAATTGCCCCCTCTGGGCAAAAGCGTAACGGCAGCTTCAATAGTAGGCTCGTGCAAGAGGCATGCATGATGTACGTGCACACTCCTTGACGAAAATAACAGGTGAAACAGTCCCTTTTGTGTGTGTGTGTGTGTGTGTGTGTGTGTGTGTGTGTGTGTGTGTGTGTGTGTGTGTGTGTGTGTGTGTGTGTGTGTGTGTGTGTGTGGCCCGGAGGACAGAGGACAGGAGGACGTGCAGCTAATTAATTAAATAATTTGGTTCTGTACCTTTCTCTTCAGCACAGCCGACAAAGGTTTATGATGGGTCAGTCCTCCTGCATGCTCAGATCATTCCCTTCCCTTGCTTGAAAAATTGTTCCAAAATGAAAGTTGAACCCACATCTTTTTTATCTGTGAATTCAATGCCGTTCGGCGAGTCTCAAATAAAAATTTGGGCATCTTACTGTAAAAAAATTATCATTAATGTAAAAAAGAACTCTAAATTAAATATGTTCACATCCAGAATCAAACCCAGGTCTTCTGCTTGAGAGTCAGACATCTTACAAGGTGAGCTACACTCTAGTAACATTCACAGTATCTGTAACTTTTATATCCTTGATGACAGCTGAAACAACGTCAAACCAAAGAACGGTTCGGAGTGAAAATGGCTATTTTGTTGCTAATTTGCAGGAAATATCTAGAAGAAAGTTCTACAGAAAGTAGCTAAGGGTCCTCAGAAATGTAGCTAGCTTTGTCACTAGGCGTTAGGAACAGCGACAAAGTGGCACTGCCTCTCTCTCTGCTGCTAAAGCTACGGATAGCAAATGCTACGGGCTATGCCTGAGCGTGAACGCGCATGAAGCAGCCTGCTCGACCAAAGCATCTCTCTTTTTCTGTGATTTTACAGAAAAACAGGCAATCACAGTAAAAATGCCAGGGCTCATTCTACAGGACCAGGGCATTGCAGGAGAATGTATGAAGAAGACATTTATTATTTCTATACATGTTTTGGCTGTCAAACTTCCATAATGTCCCTTTAATGGCAGACTGTAAAAACAGAATCAATAATAAACGAGAATCAAAACCAGAAGCCTTAGCTACATTTGTAAAAGGGAAAAAGAAGGAAAGCCCTAAATGTTGATGTTAAGTCAGAAACAGCTGATTGATCACGTGATCAGTCATGCAAGAAGCAAGTTTGATAGGTCAGTACGTTTTAACACACACACACACACACACACACACACACACACACACACACACACACACACACACACACACACACACACACACTTTTTAGAAAGACAAAAAACACCCAAAGCGAGAAGAAAAACCTCAGCATGCAGAATGGCAGGAACTTGACTATTTTTTAGAAATTTGGTTTCCTAGAAATTATTTAAATTTCATATCAATACATTTACAGAATGTTGCTCTAGACCAGGGTTTCCCCATCCTGGTCATGTTTATGTTTATGTTTATTTACTTGGCAGACACTTTTATCCAAAGCGACTTACAATTTATAACCTATAGGGCATGTTGTGATCTGTGGGGGAAACCGGAGTACCCGGAGGAAACCCACGCATGCACGGGGAGAACACGCAACTCCACGCAGAAAGGCCGCAGCCGAGTTTCGAACCTGCAACCTTCGTGCTGCGAGGCAACAGTGCTAACCACTGCGCCACCATGCAGCCCAATAGATCACGGTCATGGATCGAACATGTTTTAGTTGTCTCCCTGCTCCAGCACACATGACTTTAAATGTAATGTGATGAACAGACTTCTGCAGAGTTGGTGCAGAGCATGGAAACAACTAAAACATGCTGGTTTGTGGCCTTCCAGGACCAGGATTGGGCACCCCTGTTCCAGACCCACTGCCTGCAGCTTTAAACATTTCCACATATTTTATATTCAGCAATAAGTAGAAGAAATTAACCATCATCACTCAAAAACCATCATAAAGCTGTCCAGAATGTTTGTTAGCAATCGTGAAATGTTTATCTGATCATAAGGACGTGGTCACGTAAAGTGTGTGTGTGTGTTTTAACCTTTGGAGGATCGTAGAGCTCCAACTGGTACTTTTCGCTCACACCTCCACCCTGAGCATCTCTGATCCTCCTGACCAGCAGGCGGCAGCGTTGCCAGTGGGGCTGAGAGTCCAAGATAGTGTCATCCACCAGCAGGTACTTGAGGTGGCCCTCTTTACAGCAGCCACTCGCCTCGGGCCTTCTCTGTCTCATGCTTCTGCTGCGTAACCAATGGAAGCCACTGAGGAGGTGAGACACCACCGCAGAACGGTTGGAGGAAACTGTGGGCGGGGCTTCAGAGTTCAGACAAGATGACGAATGAGAGGGAGAGGATGACCCTTCCTCACTGGCAGAGGAAATTCCACCCACTCTCTCTCCGTTGTTTAGGGGATTGCTGTTGGATGTGAGGTTGCTAGGAGACAGGTCCTGGGATGAGTGGGGGCTGGAGAAGGGCCGTTTCTGTAAAAGCCGTTTTACTGTCTGCTGAATTTGGCAGACAGAGAAATGCGTTGCGTCACTGTGTCCGGGGTTGGAGGCCGAGGACTCAAATGAGTACCGCTCAGACACCTGATGATGATCAACGCCAGAGATGTCATCGTTGCTATGGCTATGGATCAGCAGCGTCCTGCTGCTGATGCTACGAGATTCCGAAAAGGAGTTTCTTGCAGCACATCTCAGCGGCTGCTCCTGCTCTAGACCCACCACCACAGACTCCACTTTTGGGGTCGCGGATATGGGAGCGGCTCCCCCACTTGGTCGGCCTGCCTCCCGATAGTCCTGCACCCCGGAGAAAGATGGAATCCGCAGTTGGCTGATCACAGAGTGCGATGAGGGAGAGGACCCTGTTAGAGATGTGGGGGAGGAGCTAATAGGAGCAGTAGAGTATGTGCTCTGGCTGAGTGGAGTGCCATCTTTGTCGATTTCCCGGCAGAAGTGGTGCTGGAAGAGGTCGGTGAAGTGCTTGGAGAAGGCCTCGGGCGGGACCACGTCATGCTGCGATCGCTCTCTGGCAAAGCTCCGGTAATGTGCGGCCAGCTGTCGAGCTGTTGCGATGGCATGCAGCTCACAGAACTCCCTCCAGCCTTTTGGGGGCGCTGCTACACTCGGACCTCCTCCTGCTGAAGTGGTGTTGGCTGGATGGAAAGTGTTACCATTCATTGCAGTAACCAGACTGGCTGAGAATCACTGTTGACAGAGAAGGTTGGAGAGCAACAGACACAGAAAAACACGTTACTAGAGAGAATTTGGGATCGATTAAGAGACAAAGTTCAGATAAAACAAGTTTTCTTTTACGCCAAAACCAAATCCTTCAAAAAAAATGAGCAGAGCAGAATTGTTGTTATTACTTGAAAGATTGAAAAAGATCAAACACTGAAAAAGCACATACCAAGCAGACTGATTTTATCAGAGCTCAATCTTCAATGACACAAATTGGATTATATGGGCCAGCATAATCTCTGGCAATCAACCATTCCTGAAGTATTCTTGGAGATAAAATGGTCACAGTTCACTCAAAGGACAGAGTATAACCCTTCAGCTTAGGAAAGATCACAAGTTTACCAAATAAAAACAAAAGCAATGGTCAGGAATTTGTATTTAATCCAGCAAAAAGCATAGCTTAATAATAAGAATTGGGTGATAAAGATAATGAAAGATTCCCAATATGCACTGACATTGAGATTTGAGAATAACACAAACTTAACTAGAAAAATTGCATTTATTGCACAAATGCTGTTTGAATGCTGGATAGCTGGAACTGTAAGCTGAAACAAAGCAAAACTGTCAAAATGAGCTGAATGTCTTGAAAGATGTAGAAGCAAATAAAGCACAAAAAGTAAGTGAAGAATAGAGAAAAATAATGCTAAATAGCTAAAAAACTTAAATCTGTGAACATTGTATAAAAATCTGGACAGCTTAAATGTCTAAACACCTGTTATTTCAGTTTGCCAAGTTTAACAGTTTAATCTTTACATTTAGCTGAACTGTGAAATTAGCAGTTTATGCTAAATTTGGTAACTGATTGCTGAAGTTGTTGAATAGCTGAAGTAAGCTGAAACTAAGCTAAACTGTCAAATGAGCTGAATGTAGTGAAAGATGTGAAAGCAAAAAGCACCAAGAAGCAAAAAAAGCACAAAAAGTAAGTGAAGAATCAAGAAACCTAATCCTAAATAGCAGAAAACTCAAATCTGTGAACACTGTTAAAAAAATTGGACAGCTAAAATGTCTAAACACCTGTTATTTCAGTAGGACTAGTTTAACAGTTTAATTTTTACATTTAGCTGTAGGGATGCACCGATGGATCGGCATTTGATCGTAATCGGCCGATAGCGCCCCTATCGGTTTTGATCGGAATTTTCAAAATAGATCAAAGCAAACCGATCAGGTAGGGTTGTCATGGTAACCAGTGTAGCGCTAAACCCCGGTAAAAAAAAAAAAAAAAAGTTGACAATAATAACCGTCTTGTTTTTAAAAAACTATATTATCTTGGTGGGTTTACCATGGCTGCGGTGTAGGCGCGGTGACCCTTACCAGCCACCGTATCATCTGCTGAAGTTGCCGGCGGCACATACACGCTTTGTTTACAACAAAACTTTCTTGAAGCTAAAGCTGAAATAATGGTCAAAGGAGGAGACGGCAGCGCTCAGGAGGACATTTATTATCCCTCAAAGAAGACAAAGTGGGAAGTACGGGCATATTTTAGATATTTGAAGAATGCCGAGGGAGTTTATAGAAGACGGCTATCCTGTTTGCAGCACGAGCAGAAAAAGTGTCTGTGAAAGGCAGCAACGCTTCTTATCTCATGACACATCTGCGTGACCATCACCCACAACTCTACAGTCAACGCAAGGCAAGCTAACGTTAGCGTTTTAGCTAAAATGCGTGATCCGAGGATTTGGGTTGAGGGAGAATGCAACGAGTCGCTATATAAAGCAGCCGCAGCGCCGCTACCTGCATATAAACCGTGTCGCGGACACCGCCATGTTGAAATGACGCTATGCATTACGGGGCTCCCAGGGGCCGATAAGAGTTGGTCTCTCTCCGAGAATAATTATGAATTTAACAATGATTACTGCCTGATGACATTTTCCCACATCTGCAAAGCTCACTGGAAGGACACAAACCGAGGACAATATTTTCCTGAAATACGGATTGCTCAAGTAAGGGTAAAAAAAAAAGTATCTGATTAGAAGGCTACTTGAGTACTGAGTATCATCTGATCTAATATTTTTAAATGACATCAAACAGACATAAAATACAAAGTTATGGGCAAATATTGGTATTTTAAAGACTAAAGGGGAAAAATGTAAACAAATAAACAACATAATTACAAAATAACACATTTTAGGCAAAATTTAGACACAAACTGAGGACAATATTTCCTGACATACAGGGTTTATTTAATTGTGTGAAAATGTAGCACGTTTAAAAAAAATACCGCGATAATACCGAAAACCGTGGTAATTTTGGTCACAATAACCGTGAGGTTAAATTTTCACACCGTGACAACCCTAATACAGACCATTTTAGATTAGGTTACATTTCCTTTATTCCCAGATTATGTAGTTTGTAGCACTCATTATAATGTTGTAGAAAATTTCTGGCCAATCCACGTGATCGGTATCGGTGATCGGTATCGGTGATCAGCATTCTTTGATATCGGTATCGGCAGCACAAAACCTGATCTGTGCATCCCTATTTAGCTGAACTGTGAAATTAGCATCATATACTGAATTCAGAAACTAATTGCTGAAGCTGAAACTAAGCCAAACTGTTAAAATGAGCTGAATGTTTTGAAAGATTTAGAAGCAAAAAGCACCAAAATGTAAATAAAGCACAAAAAGTGAAGAATGGAGAAAACAATCCTAAACAGCAGAAAACTGAAATCTGAACATTAC